CGCACGAAGAGCATGATCGGCACGCCCACCGGCATCTGCTGGTCTACGAAGAAGTGGAGTCACCGGCATCACGCATCATCGGACCTTGAGCAAGAGCCGCACCAAGAGGTGAACGAATGCCGGTTACGCAAAAGGGTGGGGCGGCGGGCGGCGGGCGCCACCACCTGCATGGTGCATCGCGTGCGACGTGCAGTCTGCTAGGAAGTTGGCCGCGGGCCAAGAGGCGATCTCCCTTTTGGTGGGTGCGCCCGCAGGAGCGGGCCGGGGAATTTTCGCGCCCCAAGCGACAAACAAAAATTCGTTACATTTAAATATCAACTATTTAACGGATTCATAAACCACAAGTACAGAAGCATAATTAGACAAGTCGCAAATTTTTATTAGCATCATTAATGATAGTAAAAGAAAATAAAATAAGTTAAACTAAATGTATTTCTATTTTAATTTTAAATTAGTATTCCCCAGTAACTGAGCCTTATAATATGAATTAATTTAACCTAAACTGGCAACTTTAGTCGGACCTGGATTAACGCATGAACAAAATAAGCACGTGCTTTAGGCATCAAGAGTCAAGGGGCCCCAGATAATTTCTTCCCTTTGTAATTTACAAAACTAGACATCCCATCCTAGTTAAATTGGGGCATGAAATCACTACAAATGAAACAGAAACATGTTCTGCAAAATTATAGTTATTACAGCGGATCTACAAGGAATTTTGCATTCAGTCAGTACGTATTTTGTTTTTTCCTAAATAAAGATCGTTTGTACGCTGTTCTTTAATCTTTCTATAGCATCGATTGCTGCAGAATGAAGCGTTAGTTAGAAATCACGAATTTCTGTAAAGGCAATATCAAATAACATGTTATTTCGTCTTAATAAACCAATCGAAGGAAGCTGGAGAGTGAGCTCTATAAAGCTCAACCGGTAAGTATTATTTTTCAGTTTCCTGTAAATGATAACGTAACAATCGCATGAGCAGTTATTTCCACGCAAAATACAGAGGCGTGTTGTCAGATTGGTTCAAAGAACCGATTTCACGCATCAGATCTGAACAATTTAAATTTTCCCCAATATCATCAAATGAATCAGTACACCAATTTTTTCGGAAATTCAGTGCTATGAACCGGTGGACAACAACGCACGAATGAGATACTTCAAACTAAACACGTATATATTGAACCAATTTTTTGTATTAAGAGAATCTCGTTTAATCCTAAATTACAAAATGCTAACAAATATCTCTGTTGCTCTATGTTACGAGTTTATGGTTTCTTAGAATAATGCGTTCTATTACGACTGCAATTTACAGCCAAGCTCACACACATATTTTTTTTGTCCCACACTTAAAATGAAATTTTGTAAAAAGCCGACTTAACACTGAAATTAATGCTCAAAATCAACTCGTTTCACAGTTTTACAAAAACTTGGAATTGTTGGTTTTGGTAATTACTGGGTACACTAGTTGAAAAAAATATACAGGTTCTTAGCCATTACAAGCCATTCCTACCTCAAACGGCATAATTACATGAAATTTTAATTGTTTTCACTTCAAAGGCTAAAGGAAAATGCCTCTGTGCGATATCCTTACTATTAATTTTACATTACTGGAAATAACAACTTAGCATGGAATATTATTCACAACAGAGCGTTCGATTTTTTAGTCGACGCATGAGTATGCAGATTAAGTTTGACCCTTAAAATTCGGAGAGTAAATCACGAGAGGTTTTGAGTATTTAATTTATAACACTTGAATTGTACTTTATTTCGTTATAAAATACAAATTTTAACAATTCTTCGTTTTTATAAACACAGGAAAATACCAGCCAACGATAAAGAGCTGCCGTGGAAAATAATGTCGCTTGACATTATAAATTTCAATAGTTCTTTTTTGTGCCTTCATTATTTTAACGCCAAATTTAACTTAAACGTCAGAAAATACAGGAGTCCTACTTTAAAATTATTTTTATTACCATTGAAAAATGGCCACATGATTATTTAACACTTGATGACTTAAAAGAGGGCTATTAATTTCCCGAGGGCCATAATCGAAAATTATGCCCGTTTTACAACGTTTTATTCTATTTTAGTTCCTGACATATTTTTAACGAAATATTACAAACAAGATTATGATTCTAAAATAGAACAAAATTCATTTATGTATCTACAATGAAAATTAAAAAAATAGAAATTACGAACAAGATAAAATAAAAATATTCGAATTGTGAGACATAAGCGGATAATAAAAGAAGATAACTTCTTGAATAAATTAAATTGCTTAAATACAATTCCATTTAAATTTTAAATTAAGCTTCTCGAGTAAGCGAACTCATCATAGGTATATAATCTTGGCACAAACGTAGTGGTTAAGGAACAATATATTCAGCATGAGTTTTATGTGGGTTTTCTCTTTAATAAATCTCTGCCTTTAATTAAAAAACTCTGACCTGTTCAGTAATTTTTGTCTTTTGTTTCCTTATTTACACAAATCGATTTCTTCTTCTTGCAAATTGTATTCTTTTTTACGTTATTTTATTGTTACGATAAACGTCTGAAAATTAGTCTAAACAACAATTAAAAGTGACCCAAACCGAACAACCAAACTCGTTTTATGAATTTAAAATTGTTAGTAGTAATCCTACAAGCTGAGCAACAGCAATTTTGATATTGTCAACGTACTTGAAATTATAATTAATTAACTGTACATGGCACAAACACATGTTAGGCGCCAATTTGTTAATTAAATTTAACTTCAAACGCGCTGGCAAAATGATAACAGGGAATTCTCACACTAGCTTTAAGCTGTTGCATAAGGAAATTTTTACGTTAAGAGTTTTAAAAATGCAAACTCTGAATTGAATTTCAAAGTCTATCCATTTTAAATTAAAGTAAACGTTTTCGTTGTTAAAAATCTAATTATACATGATATATTTAAATCTTGAAAGAGACTTGAATCTGCATTCTACACCGTCCAGAAATTGAAGACAAATAAACTTCACAAAATTAAAAGAAAATATCTACATACACAACAGGATCGAAAATTATGCACCGCAGTTCGGTCATTGATTATCGAGATATCTTGAAAGAAAGTCAAAGATCGTAGCCACACTATTAAGTGTCAATGTCTTAAACAATGCATTATCCCCATACTACACAATACGTAATTGTTATTGTTTAGTGTGTGCGGAAATTTTGACCTTACCACAAACATGCACGAAAATGTTAGAAAGAGAAAACCTATAATTATATAATTTAATTTCAAAACCTCCGTCAACAATTTATTATGCATGCTGGCTATAAATCTCAACAAAAACTCTCCATATACAAAAAACTAACACTACAACAAAAGTGCGTTTAATTTACCAACGTTTCTGTTAACTGACCTAGAGTGTTCCGAAATAGATCGACACTACAAATATATTTCGTAAAAATTAACAAATCCGCTAGCTTTAAATGAGTTTCAGTTATTGATAAAACAAATTCCGCTCTCGCGTAAAACACGGTTGTCAGATTAAGACTTTTCAATGTTCAATATGCAATGAATTACGCGACAAACGTGATAAATTGGCACCAAACGAATAACTGTGATGACATATTTATTTAAAATTCACAATATTTTAGTTTAAAGTTTTAAATAGGTTTCCACGATGTCAGCTTTGGGTCTCTATTGCTTACGCAAGATATTCCGCAGTGAGTGAATAAGGAAACAACATTAAGTGCATTTAATTACTAGCATTTCTGTTAATTTATCTAGACTGTTCCAAAATATATACAGGGTTTTCAAATATTTCTTACATATTTACCACTTCTTAGTAATGGTATACATCTACAGTTTTAATTAATATGGTTAATATGTCATCTGTCACAGTAATTATGACGTTTGAACTGTCGTTGCCATGGAGATCAATGCCCACTTGGATGTTACAATCATTTATGAAAACCCTATAACAAACGAATAACAGCGATGACAACTTCATTTAAGATTAACAATATTTTAGTTTAAAGTTTGAAAAGGGTTTCCAGCACTGGTTGTCACTGCTTACGCAGAATTCTCTGTTGTATACAATAAGGTGGTTAACGATGAGAATTCCGCAATTGAGTGAACAATGAAACAACATTTATCATTATGTCAGTCTACACTTACCGACGAGTCGATATAAAATAGCCAAAAAATAATCACCCTGTATTTTTTTTATTTTTCTAAGAAGTTAGATAAGATACCTAAGCCATATATTGCCATGTTTCTAATATTGTCAAGACTAAAAAACGGGCAACTATTTATTTAATATAGGTAATGAATAATAAAAAAATAAACCACATTCTAAAACAGTTTTAACGAAAACGTAAAATTAGTGAAAATTTATTTATTATTACTATTATTTTATTATTCAGTAAAAAGTAAAAATTGTTTATAACAAATAAAAAGAGTTAATTTTATTTTATATCGCAAATTAGCATACAACAATATGGACTATGTCCCAAATACTATCATCTACATAAATTTACAAAAATGTCCAAAAATCATCATTGTTGACATTTTTTTCAATTTCATTTTCATTTAAAGAAACAACACTTACTAATCAATCTATTGACGAATTTTAGCTTTCAGGTTTTAAAACTTATTTGCCAAAAAATTTAAAGCCTTAAGGTGGCAATATTTATCTTAGGTACCTTATTTGTGTAAAACTGTTCTAATCTATTTGGGACATCTTAATAGTGCAGCTACGAAACTTTACGCTAAACTTAACTGGAAATAACAGTAGACTTGTGGGAACTACGTATTATGATAATTTAATAAAACATTTTTTTCAGTGTAGAGTCCACACGGAACGTCAGTGTCTAGTTTAAAAAAAATATCGCCACAAAATAAGCGCCTTTGCGATTAAGGTGATAATCCCGATAAGGGGATTTCCCACGATCCAAGGACTACCCCTTACGTTACATCGGCAATTTAAGGTATGTGATGGGTTCGGGAACGGTCCCTAATCCGGCACTGAACTCACCTCCTCCTCTCCGTTGTTCGTGTTGACGGAATCCATGCTTTGACTGAGCGCGACTCCAAGAGGAGCTTCCATGTCCTGGTCTGAGGCGTTGAGCGGGCTGGACGAGCCGGAGTCGTGTCTGGCCCTCTTGAGGGACGGCGGAGTGGCGGCAGGCGTCGGGGACAGATCGTCTCCCAGAGGATGCCGGCCTCTCTTCGTGGTGTTGAAGGCGGTCTCCACGATTCACGCTAGTAAGTCCCGGTGGCGGCGACGTGCGCGTCGAACTGGCGTCGGTCCGGGAAGCACATGCACTGTTAGCACCGAACGGTCGAGCGAACACTGGCACCACTGCTTGGGAGCGGTTCCGTTCCGGTACCGCTGGCGGTCGCTGCTAGACTGTGGCGCGGTGTCGTGGCGAGCCGAGCCGGGGAGCAGGTGGGGGTGGGGCACTCAGGTGAGTAGGTGTTGCAGTGCTGTAATCGCGGTGGCGGCGCCAGGGGTGGTGTCGCAGCCGGTGCTTGCCTCAGACTGCCACCCGCGCCGCCCGACAGGTAGGCAGCTGGCACCGCGCGCGCACCTTTGGACTCATGCGCCATGAACCGACGCCGCCGACGCCGCCACCGTCGCCACCGGTCACCGGGTACACCTGCACACGATGACACATATTCTTGCGCGGGAACGAAGGAGATGAGGGCCGGCTGCGGCAGTAAAGCGCGCCCGACGGACGGGAGCTTTCGCAGTTATTTACATTCGGGAACAAGAGAAACATGAAATAAATTCGAGATTACGACATGTTTAATAGCCACTTAGTTACTCGATTGGGTTCTCGGGTTTCATAACAAAGGCGCTTTTTTAAATAATGCGTATCCACGTGTATTGATTTTCAATAACTCGATAACTTATTAAAAATTTATTTAGAGCTTAACAAAGAACGGTACAGAATAAATACGGCGGGTACGTAAACATGTTTAAAGTTGATCGAAACAGCGAATATCAAGAAGATTATATGTAAATTTTGAATATTGACAACATAATAACTTCAAAAACAAAACGTAGGGTATAACATTAATTTTTGTTCGTCTTTCACAAAATCCTTAAATACGAAAATACAAGTTCACGGTAAAACGCTAACAAAAATTGGTCGAAAGTTATTTCGATAGAACTTTCTTCGTCCCTGAAATACAGCCGAAGAAATGACGCTTGTTTGAAAGATTAAAAAAAATTGGATCATCAATAAATTGAGAAATCAATGAATTTTAAAAATGGAAAAACTGAAAAATCGAAAAACTGGACAGTCGAAAAATCGAAAAACCTAGAAATCGTACAATCGAAACATCAAAAAATCGAAAGTCGAAACACCGAAAATTCCAGAAATAGCATAAAATCAAAAAATTAAAAATGACGAACTGAAAAAATTACAATTAAAGAAATCGCGTTAATCAAAAAATTGAATTATCGAAAAATTGGAAAAATGAACAAACGGAAAATTGAAAAATCGAAAAACTAAAAAATCGAGAAATCGAAAAATCTAAAATGTCAAAAATTTGAAAAATGGAAAAATTGAAAAATCGAGAAACCTAGAAATCGCTAAATCAAAATTATTTACTATTATTTCTCAATTTAATCTGTCCTCTAAACGCAAAATTCTGTTGGGTAATAAAGATATTGTTATTATTTTTATTATCATCATCACCAAAGCATGGAGAAGTTGAAACATCAAGACATCGAAACATCAAAGGATCGAGGAATCGAGAAATCGAAATAGCATAAAATAAAAAAATCGGAAAATTTAAAACAAAAAATTCGATATATTCAAAAATAAAAAAATCTGAAAATCGAAAAATCGAGAAATTGAACAAGGGAAATATCGGAATTACGATAAATTTGGAAATCGAAAAATTGAGAAATTGAAATAACTTAAAAACCGAAAAATTGAAAAATCGAAAAATAAAAAAATTTAAAAAGATCGGGAAATCGAAATATCCAGAAATTGAAAAATCTAAAATTTAAAATTGGAGTTAAATTAAAAAATTGAAAAATCGGATAATCGAGAAATCAAAAAATCTAAAATTTTAAAAATCGAAAAATTGAAGAATTGAACAACTGAAATATCGAGAAATCGTCCAGCCATCGAAACATTGAAAAGAAGAGAAATCGAGAAATGGGAAGATTAAAAAAACCTAAAATCGAAAAACTAAAAGTCGGAAAGTCAAAAAATCGAGTAATCGAAAATTTAGAAACGCCAAAAATTGAAAAAATAAAAAAATAATCGAACGATTGAAGAATCGAAAATTTTAAAAATCGAAAAATAGTAAAATTGAACAATCGAAAAACTGAAAAATCGAGAAATTGAGAAATCCCAAAACTAAAATCTCGAAAAATTGGGAACACGAAAAACATCAAGCAATTAAAACATCAAAAGATCGAGAAATCGAAAGTCAAAAAGTCGAAAAACTGAAAAATCGAAAAATCAAAGTAGAGTGAAATCGAAAAAATTCATAAATTGAAAATTTACAATTAAAAAAAACGATAAAATCGAAAAATCAAAAATGGAATAATCGAAAAGTCGGGAAAATGAACAGTCGAAACATTTTAGAATCGAAAAACTAAAAATCGAGAAATTGAAAAATTTTAAATGTCGAAAAATTGACAAAACCTCAAAAAATTGAATCATCGGAAAATCTGGAAGTTTGAAAAAACCGAAAAATTGAATAATCGAAAATTTGAAGAATCGAAAAACTAAAAAATCGAGAAATTGAAGAAACACAAAATTGTAATTTTGAAAAATGGAGAAATCGATAAATCGAGGAGCCAAAAAATTTAAACATCGAGACATCGAAACATCAAAAATTCCAAAATTCGAAAGATCCAAGTAGCATAAAATAAAAAAATTGGTACATTTTAAAATTAAAAAAAAAACGATAAATCGAAAAATCTAATATGTCGAAAATTTGAACAATGGAAAAATTGAAAAATCAAGAAACCTAGAAATCGCTAAATCAAAATTATTTATTATTGTTTCTTAATTTAATCTGTCCTCTAAACGCAAAATTCTGTTGGGTAATAAAGATATTGTTATTATTTTTATTATCATCATCATCAGCCTGGAGAAGTTGAAACAACAAAAGATCGAAAAATCGAGAAATCGAAATAGCAAAAAATAAAAAAATCGGAAAATTTAAAACTATAAATTCGATAAATCCAAAAATAAAAAAAATTGAAAATCGAAAAATCGAGAAATTGAACAAGGGAAATATCGAAATTACGATAAATTTGGAAATCGAAAAATTGAGGAATTGAAAAATCGAAAAATAAAAAAATTTAAAAATCGAAAAATCGAAAAATCGAAAGATCGGGAAGTCGAAATATCCAGAAATTGAAAAATCTAAAATTTAAAATTCGAGTTAACTTAAAAAATTGAAAAATCGGAGTACTGAAAAATCGAAAAATCGAGAAATCAAAAAATCTAAAAATAGAATAGAAAAAATAAAATATCGAAGAATTGAAGAATCAAGAATTTAAAAAATCCAAAAAATTGAAGATTTGAAAAACTGAAAAATCGAGACATCGTCCAGCCATCGAAACATCGAAAAGAAGAGAAATCGAGAAATGGAAAAATTACAAATTCCTAAAATCGAAAAACTAAAAGACGAAAATTCAAAAAATCGAGTAATCGAGTAATGGAAAAGGCGAAGAATCGTTTAATCGAGAAATCGAAAATTTAGAAACGCCAAAAATTGAAAAAATAGAAAAATAATCGAACAATTGAAGAATCGAAAAAGTCAAAAAATCGAGCAATCGAAATGACGAAGAATCGATTAATCGAAAATTCGAAAATTTAGAAAGCTCAAAATTTGAAACATTGGATATTCGGAAAATTATAGAATCGAAAAACTGAAACATTGTAAAACACAAATATGTAAAAACCCTAAAACTGAGAAATGAGAAGTTGACAAAAGGAGAAATCATAAAATCGAAAATCCGAAAAATCGGATTCATAAACCACAAAGACTGTTACTTTTTAACATTTAAATAACATTTAGGTTTTCAACAAAATTGTGTCAATTCCTATATGGTATGAACGAATAAATTTTGATTAACCATTTACCATGCTTCTGATAACATTAAAATTACAAAAATTTCAAAGTATTTGATTTCCAGTTTGAAAGTTATATTGTAAAATTTCGTTATACAATTTCAATTGTTTTTTTAAAAAATCTGGATGCCGAAGCTAAAAATTCAACACGAATTCGTAAATCAGAAGTGGAGGAGCACGTGATTTTATAAAATTAAAATTACATTTACTATCGTAAAATTACTGTTAGCGTTTCATTATCTACGTGATATTTCTAACGTACATACATACAAAATTTGACAATAATTGTTTCGGTAATTTCGGATATTAGCTGTCTAATAAAAATCGACATAGATAGTGGACAGACAGACAGACGGAAACGGTAGACCTATTTTTTCGTACTGTATAGGACATGAAACGTCGAGAAAACATGAAAGTAGCCATTTGTCTAATGAACTCGAATACAATACGTCCTTAGCTTGCGCGCAGGAAGTAAAAGAATGGTTTAGTGCATCAAATTTTACAATTTATTTACTTTAGCAATTACATAACTAATCTTATAGAAATTAATTAGTAAAACAAAATCCTTTATTCATGTAAATTAAAAATCTCAAAAATTATTTTATCTTTATACATATTTGGCATAAATATACAGTAATGGTAAGATTTCACAAAAATATTGGATGGACCAACAAATTTTTGCATTATCAAAGAACGAATTATCTAATATCTTTGAAATACAAGAACGCAGTGTGATTAGTGTTACATTATCCTCATCTGAATTGCTATGTTAACTCCTAACAGAAAGCTGTTTAAAATTTTTCGGAAGAATGTTTTTTCTTTTAAAAAATAACATGATATTTAGTGTGCTTCAAAGGAGAGTAAAGTTCTGTATAAGTAAATAACTTTACAGATTTTTAATCTCAATGGAGGGAACTATGGATTGGAAAATTGTTTTAAAGCTCGATTCACCGTCGACCCTTGTATTTTTCGTAGTTTTCAGTTATTGTGTTTCTTCCATTATAAAGGTATTTAAAATTGTGCGCCGTTATTTTACCGCAGTGCTCATAACAACATGGTAACAAATATTTACGAACGAATATTGGTTGATATATTTACCGTCTTCATAATAATTAATATAAATTTTTAATTAAATACTATTATTTTGTAGGTCATTTGAAATATTTTAAATAGCTTCCCGAAAAAACGTTAATAAGTTTTTTATTCTTTCAGCTACACAGACTATTTCGGAATGTGTTTTTGTTTATTTTGATTTAATTAAAAATAACTGTAACTAATTACTGAGTTAACCGTGCAAATTTACCACAGACAGTGAAAAGACCTCATTTCAATAATTCGTTTGTAAATAATGTTAATTTAGTTGTAGCTTTATTTATTTCCGTTCATCAGCAATAAATTTTCTTGTTGATGCATAATGCATAAAACAGAACGTTATACAGGCGT